ATTATAGATAGAGAGCTGAATCTTTCACTGAAAATTATCCTTTTCAAAGGACTACAATCCCTGAAAATTTCAGCTGATTGACACTTATAATTCCTGAGATAAAATCGTGTTAAGCAATTGGGGTGATTTATCAATTTTTCAATTCTTCTGAGTGCCTTTTTTCATAGATTTCGGCTTCAAATCTGAGAATAATTTTGTGTATGGAGTTCAGGGTATCACGATGGACCCAGTAGAACACAAAATCTCGACAAAAAAAAATTTGAAATTTTATCATTTTAGTAAGAAGGTACCCCCCTTATGATTTTTTCGGAAAACTTTCAAAGGTCGTAATTTTTTTTTCTATTATAGATAGAGAGCTGAATCTTTCACTGAAAATTATCCTTCTCAGAGGACTACAATCCCTGAAAATTTCAGCTCATTGACACTTATAATTCCTGAGATAAAATCGTGTTAAGCAATTGGGGTGATTTATCAATTTTTCAATTCTTCTGAGTGCCTTTTTTCATAGATTTCGGCTTCAAATCTGAGAATAATTTTGTGTATGGAGTTCAGGGTATCACGATGGACCAGTAGAACACAAAATCTCGACAAAAAAAAATTTGAAATTTTATCATTTTAGTAAGAAGGTACCCCCCTTATGATTTTTTCGGAAAACTTTCAAAGGTCGTAATTTTTTTTCTATTATAGATAGAGAGCTGAATCTTTCACTGAAAATTATCCTTCTCAGAGGACTACAATCCCTGAAAATTTCAGCTCATTGACACTTATAATTCCTGAGATAAAATCGTGTTAAGCAATTGGGGTGATTTATCAATTTTTCAATATTTCTGAGTGCCTTTTTTCATAGATTTCGGCTTCAAATCTGAGAATAATTTTGTGTATGGAGTTCAGGGTATCACGATGGACCAGTAGAACACAAAATCTCGACAAAAAAAAATTTGAAATTTTATCATTTTAGTAAGAAGGTACCCCCCCTTATGATTTTTTCGGAAAACTTTCAAAGGTCGTAATTTTTTTTCTATTATAGATAGAGAGCTGAATCTTTCACTGAAAATTATCCTTCTCAGAGGACTACAATCCCTGAAAATTTCAGCTCATTGACACTTATAATTCCTGAGATAAAATCGTGTTAAGCAATTGGGGTGATTTATCAATTTTTCAATTCTTCTGAGTGCCTTTTTTCATAGATTTCGGCTTCAAATCTGAGAATAATTTTGTGTATGGAGTTCAGGGTATCACGATGGACCAGTAGAACACAAAATCTCGACAAAAAAAAATTTGAAATTTTATCATTTTAGTAAGAAGGTACCCCCCTTATGATTTTTTCGGAAAACTTTCAAAGGTCGTAATTTTTTTTCTATTATAGATAGAGAGCTGAATCTTTCACTGAAAATTATCCTTCTCAGAGGACTACAATCCCTGAAAATTTCAGCTCATTGACACTTATAATTCCTGAGATAAAATCGTGTTAAGCAATTGGGGTGATTTATCAATTTTTCAATATTTCTGAGTGCCTTTTTTCATAGATTTCGGCTTCAAATCTGAGAATAATTTTGTGTATGGAGTTCAGGGTATCACGATGGACCAGTAGAACACAAAATCTCGACAAAAAAAAATTTGAAATTTTATCATTTAGTAAGAAGGTACCCCCCCTTATGATTTTTTCGGAAAACTTTCAAAGGTCGTAATTTTTTTTCTATTATAGATAGAGAGCTGAATCTTTCACTGAAAATTATCCTTTTCAAAGGACTACAATCCCTGAAAATTTCAGCTGATTGACACTTATAATTCCTGAGATAAAATCGTGTTAAGCAATTGGGGTGATTTATCATTTTTCAATTCTTCTGAGTGCCTTTTTTCATAGATTTCGGCTTCAAATCTGAGAATAATTTTGTGTATGGAGTTCAGGGTATCACGATGGACCAGTAGAACACAAAATCTCGACAAAAAAAAATTTGAAATTTCATCATTTTAGTAAGAAGGTACCCCCCTTATGATTTTTTCGGAAAACTTTCAAAGGTCGTAACTTTTTTTCTGTTATAGATAGAGAGCTGAATCTTTCACTGAAAATTATCCTTTTCAAAGGACTACAATCCCTAAAAATTTCAGCTCATTGACACTTATAGTTCCTGGGATAAAATCGTGTTAAGCAATTGGGGTGATTTATCAATTTTTCAATTCTTCTGAGTGCCTTTTTTCATAGATTTCGGCTTCAAATCTGAGAATAATTTTGTGTATGGAGTTCAGAGTATCACGATGGACCAGTAGAACACAAAATCTCGACAAAAAAAAATTTGAAATTTCATCATTTTAGTAAGAAGGTACCACCTTATGATTTTTTCGGAAAACTTTCAAAGGTCGTAACTTTTTTTCTATATAGATAGAGAGCTGAATCTTTCACTGAAAATTATCCTTTTCAAAGGACTACAATCCCTGAAAATTTCAGCTCATTGACACTTATAGTTCCTGGGATAAAATCGTGTTAAGCAATTGGGGTGATTTATCAATTTTTCAATTCTTCTGAGTGCCTTTTTTCATAGATTTCGGCTTCAAATCTGCGAATAATTTTGTGTATGGAGTTCAGGGTATCACGATGGACCAGTAGAACACAAAATCTCGACAAAAAAAAATTTGAAATTTTATCATTTTAGTAAGAAGGTACCTCCTTATGATTTTTTCGGAAAACTTTCAAAGGTCGTAACTTTTTTTTCTATTATAGATAGAGAGCTGAATCTTTCACTGAAAATTATCCTTTTCAAAGGACTACAATCCCTGAAAATTTCAGCTGATTGACACTTATAATTCCTGAGATAAAATCGTGTTAAGCAATTGGGGTGATTTATCAATTTTTCAATTCTTCTGAGTGCCTTTTTTCATAGATTTTCGGCTTCAAATCTGAGAATAATTTTGTGTATGGAGTTCAGGGTATCACGATGGACCAGTAGAACACAAAATCTCGACAAAAAAAAATTTGAAATTTTATCATTTTAGTAAGAAGGTACCCCCCTTATGATTTTTTTCGGAAAACTTTCAAAGGTCGTAATTTTTTTTCTATTATAGATAGAGAGCTGAATCTTTCACTGAAAATTATCCTTCTCAGAGGACTACAATCCCTGAAAATTTCAGCTCATTGACACTTATAATTCCTGAGATAAAATCGTGTTAAGCAATTGGGGTGATTTATCAATTTTTCAATTCTTCTGAGTGCCTTTTTTCATAGATTTCGGCTTCAAATCTGAGAATAATTTTGTGTATGGAGTTCAGGGTATCACGATGGACCAGTAGAACACAAAATCTCGACAAAAAAAAATTGAAATTTTATCATTTTAGTAAGAA